GGGGGGGGGGGGGGGGGGGGGGGGGGGGGGGGGGGGTCGCAGCTGTAGCTGCAGGAGTAGAAGACTTGTGCACCCCTGATCTTTAGACTGTATTTTAGGCTTGTCCTGATCCGATATTTGGATCGTATCGGCCGGCACGAGAAACTGCCGTTCCAGACTCCAGATCCATTTTATTAAAAAGTCCAATCCCACCCGAGCATTAGCATTAGCATTAGCATTTCCTAACCCACAGGTCTGTGTAAACTTTAGTTGTTATAAGAGTAAATCCCTGTTCAACATGAGTCTGACAACTAAGTAAGTGGAAAAATCATTTTCAACTTTAAAACAAAAAGCCGGATCGGGACATCCCTACTGTATTTCTACATAATAAGATGATTTCTATAACCATAAAATAGTTATTGAGGGGTGAATTGATTCAGACGGAGCACTACTGAAGGCCTAGCTGTGAAATGCACAGTCCGCCACTCGTATCAGTATATGGTTTTTGGCTTGGCCTCTTCCGGCTCGAGTTTCTTCCTGTAGCTTTGGTCTTTTAGGGATTTGTGGGTTTTTTTGTGTTGTATTGCAATGTATGTTTTAGCATTTTTCTTAAGCAGCTCTTTAATTGTTTCTTTGTGCTTAATTCATTTTTATTTTTCCTTTCTGTTCGGTTAGCATTGTAATTCTTTCCCGTACTGTCTGTCCTGCCTGTTGATCAGCTGCTTTCTTCCTCCTAATTTCCGTTAGGCTTTTCTAGTTTAGTTTCTTAGTACAGTTTAGTTGCCTGGCTTTTCAGGCTTGGTTGTGCTTTGTGTTGTTATCCATCCATCCATTCTCCTCCGCTTATCCGGGGTCGCGGGTCGCAGGGGCAGCAACCGAAGCAGGCAAGCCCAGACTTCCCTCTCCCCTGCCACTTCTGCCAGCTCCTCCGGGGGTATCCCGAGGCGTTCCCAGGCCAGCCGGGACACATAGTCCCTCCAGCGTGTCCTGGGTCTTCCTCTGGGCCTTCTCCCGGTGGGACGAGCCCGGAACACCTACCCAGGGAGGCGACCAGGAGGCATCCTGATCAGATGCCCGAGCCACCTCAACTGGCTCCTCTCCACGTGGAGGAGCAGCGGCTCTACTCTGAGCCCCTCCCGGATGGCCGAGCTTCTCACCCTATCTCTAAGGGAGAGCCCAGCCACCCTGCGGAAGAAACTCATTTTGGCCACTTGTATCCGGGATCTCGTTCTTTCGGTCACTACCCAAAGTTCGTGGCCATAGATGAGGGTGGGAACGTAGATCAACCGATAAATTGAGAGCTTCGCCTTTAAGCGAAGCTCTCAATTGACCGGTCTGTCATCATGACAGACCGGTACAGCACCCGCATTACTGCAGACACCGCACCGATCCGCCTATCGATCTCACGCTCCCTACCCCCATTCGCAAACAAGACCCTGAGATACTTGAACTCCTCCACTTGGGGAAGGACGTCCGCTCCAACCCGGAGAAGGCACTCTACCCTTTTCCGGTGAGAGACCATGGTCTCGGACTTGGAGGAACTTATCCTCATCCCAGCCGCTTTGCACTCGGCTGCGAACCGCTCCAGCGAGAGTTGTAGGTCACGACTTGATGAAGCCAACAGGACCACATCATCTGCAAAAAGCAGAGATTCGATCCTAAGGCCACTAAGGCCACACCCTCAACACCTCGGCTGCGCCTAGAAATCCTGTCCATAAAAGTTATGAACAGGACCGGAGACATAGGGCAACCTTGGCGGAGCCAAACTCCCATCGGGAACGGATCCTACTTACTACCGGCAATGCGAACCAAACTCTGACTCCAGTCGTACAGGGACCGAACAGCCCATAACAAAGGGCCAGGTACCCCATACTCCCGGAGCACCCCCCATAGGATACCCCGAGGCACACGGTCGAACGCCTTCTCCAAGTCCACAAAACACATGTGGACTGGTTGAGTGAACTCCCATGCACCCTCCAGGACCCCACTGAGGATATAGAGCTGGTCCAGCGTTCAACAGCCAGGACGAAAACCACACTGTTCCTCCTCAATCTGAAACTCGACTATCCGACTGACCCTCCTCTCCAGAACCGCTGAATAGACCTTCCCAGGGAGGCTTAAGAGTCTTATCCCCCTGTAGTTGGAACACACCCTTCGGTCCCCCTTTTTAAATAGGGGGACCACCACCCCAGTCTGCCAATCCAGCGGAACTGCCCCTGATGTCCACGCAATGTTGCAGAGTCGCGTTAGCCAACGCAGCCCCACAACATCCAAAACCTTGAGGAACTCATCCACCCCCGGAGCCTTGCCACCGCGGAGCTTTTTGACTACCTTGGTGACCTCAGCCCCGGAGATTAGAGAGCCCAACTCCGGATCCCCAGGCTCTGCCCCTCCAATGGAGGACGCGCCAGTGGGATTGAGGAGATCCTCGAAATACTCCGCCCACCGACCCACAATGTCACGGGTTGAGGTCAACAGCGCACCACCCCCACTGTAAACAGTGTTGGTGGGGCACTACTTCCCCCCCTGAGACGCCGGATGGTGGACAAGAATCGCCTCAAGGCCATATGGAAGTCTTTTTCCATGGCCTCCCCAAACTCCTCCCACGCCCGGGGTTTTTGCCTCGGCGACCACCCGAGCCGCACGTCCCTTGGACTGCCGATACCCATCGGCCGCCTCTGGAGTCCCACAGGCCAAAAAGGCCCGTTAGGACTCTTTCTTCAGCTTGACGGCATCCCTCACCGCCGGTGTCCACCAGCGGGTTCGACGTTTGCCGCCACGACAGGCACCGACAGCCCTGCGACCGCAGCTCTGGGAGGCCGCGTCATTGATGGAGGCGCGGAACATGGCCCACTCGGACTCAATGTCCCCCACCTCCCCTTGAACGTGCTCGAAGCTCTCCCGGAGGTGGGAGTTAAAGCTCCGCCTAACAGGGTACTCCGACCCTCAGAATGCGTTTGGGCGTCCCGGGTCTCACCGGCATCCTGCCCCACCATCGGAGCCAACTCACCACCAGGTCGTGGTCAGTGGAAAGCTCCGCCCCCCTCTTTACCCGAGTGTCCAAAACATGCGGCCGCAGATCAGGTGAAACGACAACAAAGTCGATCATTGAACTGCGGCCTAGAGTGTCCTGGTGCCAGGTGCACATATGAACACTCTTATGTTTGAACATGGTGTTCGTTATGGACAATCCGTGCCGAGCACAGAAGTCCAAAAACAAAACACCACTCGGGTTCAATCTGGGGGGGCCATTCCTCCCAACCACGCCCCTCCAGGTCTCACTGTCTTTGCCCATGTGAGCATTGAAGTCCCCCAGCGAAACAAGGGAGTCCCCAGAGGGGGCACCCTCCAGTACCCCCTCTAAGGACTCCAAAAAGGTTGGTACTCTGTACTGCCGTTAGGCGCATAGGCACAAACAACAGTCAGCATCCGTCCCCCTACCCGAAGGCGAAAGGATGCTACCCTCTCGTTCACTAGGGTTTAAACCCCAACGTACAGGCACCGAGATGGGGGGCAATGAGTATGCCCACTCTTGCTCGGCGCCTCTCACCTGGGGCAACTCCAGAGTAGCAGAGCGTCCAACCCCTCTCAAGAAAGTTGGTTCCAGAGCAAGAGCTGTGAGTCAAGGCGAGGCCGACTATGTCCAGCCGGAATCTCTCCGCCTCGCACACCAACTCAGGCTCCTTCCCCACATTCCACATCCCTAGAGCCAGCTTCTGCAGCCGGGGATCTGTCCGCAAAGGTCCCCGACTCCGGCCGCCACCCGAAACACAGCGCATGGGACGGGGCTCACCATGCTTTGTGTTGTAATTATTTAATTAAATCAAGTTCTTTAATTCCCAGTGTTTTGCCTAATACTGGTCTGTAGTTGGATCTTCAGCACTACATTGTCAACAATGACATGTTGATTGGAGAGAGATGGAATTTCTCCTCTCTGTGCCCTTTCCCTTTTTCTATCCTAGTGCATGTATTGCACGTATTCTGAAGGTCTTTTCATCATCTAAAGAAGTGCATGTAAAGGTTCATTTGTTACCCTAAATGTTCCCTAGGAGTGAGTGTGAGCGTTTGTGTTTTTTTTGTCTCTAAGTGGCGACTTGGCATCTTGCCCAATGACAGCCAGTATAGAACAGTCACTCCCCTGGAATTGATTTAGTAGGTATAAAAAAAGGATGGATGGAAGTACTGTTTGTCATGTAAAGGTGGGAGAATTGACTTTCCCCATGAAAATAATGACTCACCTCTTTAGCACTCTTTATCTTTCCCAGGAATGTTCGAAGCTCCTTGGTTTCTGCGAACAGTGCCCGACACACTGCCTGGTAGTGGCTGGGGGCGTCTGACAAGCTGGGTAGATGAGCTGTACATAGCTGGGACAGGGAATGAACATAATCAGAACACAGTTGATACATCCATCTGTCTGTCATGATAAAAACATTACAGAGGAAAGGGTTTACTGTACTCAGGGTGTACTAATGTAGATACATAATTTTAGTGTCTGAAATGATCAGATCTGGGATCAGGTCATTCATTCTGCCTTTATTTATTTTTCCTTGACTGTAACAGTGAATTTGCTCACAGCTTTGATGGAGCATGAAAGGAATTACGTTTCTGATTGTGGAGGCTTTAAAGATAATCTACATACAGTAGGTTTTGTTCACACAAACATCAGGAATGGAGGAACTTTCCACTGTTTCTGTATTTGTAAGAGCTGACAGTTTGTTGACGCACTGTGCTGTTTGACAAAAACAAATTAGAGTAATTGTGTAACTGAATTGTGTAATTGTCTTGCCATCTCTTGGGCTGTGAACTGGTTAATGTACTACATCGTGAAAAAAAATGAAAAACACGTTTCAAGGAGTTATGGTAGACTTCCCATATGAAAATCGTTGAACCCTGAAAAGTAGAATCAGAT